TCCCGGAAGTGGTCAGAAACTCCTACTGGGCGGGAGGGGTGGGGCAGGTAGGGCGGAGTGGTGGGGGGCGGCCCGAGGGGGTGGGAGAGGGTCCGGCCCATGCTGCGCCTGGTCCCGCCGGTGCAGGGTAGCAGGAAACTCTCCGCACACTCACTGGACCTGGGCTAGGACTGGGTCTGGGGGCTCTATTTTGACCATTTTAGATGCCTCACATAAGTGAAATCATGCAACATTTGTCTTTGTAGGTCTGGCTTCTATGGTTAGACATAGTGTCCTCAAGGTCTATTCATGTCGCTGCCCACTGCAGGATTTCCTTCTTTTATTTCTTTTTTAAGGCTGAATACCAGTTGATTCTCTTCAATGACTTTACTCATGAACTCTACCATTTTTAAGATTTTTTAAAGATGAAGTAAGACAGAAGGGATACTTGGCAAACATGAATATATAGGTTTCTAGGATTATGATTTTCTTCCAATTGTTTATAGTAGTCTTGTTCATACTAATTTTAAAAAAACAGCTTTTACCAAGCTGACTTTAAACAGCTGTATTGATATAGTTGTAGTTATATGTATTTTCATATAAATAACACATATCTTCATAAAAATTTTATTAACTTAGGTAATAATTGTTTTTATAATTATACTCAGAAATACAACTAGAATATAAAACTATGAGAACAAATGCAGTGGACTTTTGATCATCAATTAATTGAACTTGTGAGAGATAATCCCAGCATGCAAGAGACCTGCTCATAGCATAGGAATCCGCCACTCCAGAGGCACAGGGCTCTTTTACACAATGACTGGGAGGTACTGGTGAGTCTATCTAGCCAGTAAGGTGATGGTTTAGGGAGAATGTTGTTTCATTACTGTAATGGTTGACACATTGTGTCGACTTGACTGGTTTGTGTTGGTGGTTCCATACCCTGGGCCATGGGGGCCCTGCCCTGTGGGGCAGGGAGGGCCCACCCTAGGGCATGAAGGGGCCCACCATGGGATGGGGAGGGCCTGCCCCAGAATGACTCAGCACAAAAAGGGTATATACAGGGATTGAGGAAGGAGTTGGTGTTTCACTTCCTTGGAGGAACTTCAGTTTTCACAGTCAGCTTGGACTTCACCTTCTGGCTACCAGTGCAGACTCTTCAGCCTCTGGCTTGGATCCTTCAGCTCTCTGTGGCAGACTCTTCAGCCTTCCATCGCAGATCCATCAGCTTGACTGACACAGACCTGCATGAAACACTGCAGTAAGAGCTGAGAACTTGGAATTGAATTGTTCATTTTCAAGTATGCAGATGCCCTCTGCAGGCTTCCTCATTTGACTCTGTGGATAACCATCATAAGCCAATCTTGTAATTTCTTGTACATTTGTACATTTTGCATTATATCTGTTTCGTGTATTAGACCTGTGCCTCTAGTAAAACCCTGACTAATACAGAATATGGTATCAGGAGTGACTCTAGAGAAACAGAATATAGTGATGGCATTTTTAAATGACTTTAAAAGTTCCTGGAGTTGGCTCCAAGATTTCATGAGACCTGAAGACACCATAGTCTCTCCTGATTTTAAAGAGCACATTGATATTCCCTGGTGTGAACTGTTTGAACCAATATGCTATGTAGATTCATTTGATCATCCTAATTCACCACTTGTAAGATGTCAGGAATTTAGTGATTCCACACATAACAATTTTGAATTTCTTTGGTGGAGTAGGGAGTATAATGATGCCAGTTGGTTGGTCTTAGCCTCAGTGGACAAACTTATGAATGAAAGTAAGGAGCCCAAAGATTTGATTTCCCGGAGAATCTCCACCATGGCTGCTTGCAGGGGCAAAAGTGAATGTTATTCTTAATTATCATGTGATGGACTCTAGGTTGAATGAGGGGAAAAGTGTGGCGGACAAGGATCCAAACTGGAGAATTCTCTCATCTTTGCGATCCTCCCACTCTCCAGCCAAGGGTGCTGCCAGGGTGTGTCTCCCTTTCTCAGACCCCAGGGCAGCCTCTCTCCACTGTTTAAATGAGAATGTCCCTGGCTCAGAGAGTACTGCTTACCTGGCTCTTCACACTGCTCTTCTTGATCATGCTGGTGCTGAAGCTGGATGAGAAGGCTCCATGGAGCTGGTTCCTCATACTCATCCCTGTCTGGATATTTGACACCATTCTCCTCGCCATGTTGATTGTGAAAATGGCTGGGTGGTGCAAGTCTGGCTTTGACCCTCGCCATGGATCACACAACATCAGGAAAAAAGCCTGGTACCTCATTGCCATGTTACTTAAGTTAGCCTTCTGCCTCGCACGCTGTGCTAAGCTGGAGCAGTTTGCAGCCATAAATCTATTGTATGTCTTCATTTGTCTGCAGGTCTTACTGGCTGGGGCACTAACAGAACTTGGATATAACGTCTTTTTTGTGAGAGACTGACTTCTTAAGTACAGAACATCATTTTGGGCCTGTTGCTCTGCAACAGGTGACAGTTACAGTGTTCTGGACCTTCCGGGTGAGCTGGAAGAAGGCCTGAGACCCGGGGAAACACCACATGCAGCGTTCTCTCGAGTCTGTGAAATAAGCTTGGTACATCATGGACTTCCAATCAGCCCAAAGCTGGATTATTCAGTATTTGAGTTCTTGCTATCTTTGTTACCCTTGAGTAAATAAAGTTTGTTCTTGACCTTAAAAAAAAAAAAGATTTTATTTCCCACCTCAAGATTCAGATAAAAATTTTAAAAGTTTCTAAGTATGTCCTGACAGAAAAAAATCTTCTTTCTTTTAGCCACAAGGCTGAAGTTGCAGAAACCCAAAGGCAGTCCCTCATAATTTGATTGACTGAACTGAAACATAAATTAAATGCTCAACCTAGAAGGATATCTGAAACAAAGGTGAGGGCAGTGACTCTGACACAAAAAGAATGGGATCCCATGAAATGGAATGGAGATGTGTGGGAGGATCCTGAGGAGGCTGAGGATGTTGAGGTTTTTTTTTTTTTTTTGCGGAACTGTGGATTGAACTCAGGCCCTTGAGCTTGCCAGGGAAGCACTTATTCCACTGAGCTACCTCCCCGGCCCCAGATGTTGAGTTTTTAGATGCTAATGAGATTATTTTGCCTGAGGAAGAGATTTCCCCCACACACTGTGGCAAAGGAATCGCTGCCTTCACCCTCTGAGGTGTTAGCATCTCCTAATATATCTGGAGAAACCAATACTGCATGGAACAAATAGGATAACTGTGGAACTCCTGAGGACCCACCCTCACCACCCGTTGTTGCCTCCAGGCCCATAGCCAGCCTTCAAGCACAGAGGTCACCTAAGGGTAAAGTACATAGTGTGAACCGTGAGGAGCTCTGTTACTCTCCCAAAGACCTTCTTGAGATTTCTAGCTCTTATAAGCAGAGGCCTAATGAGCAGGCGTGGGAATGGATTTTACGAGTGTGGGATAATGGTGGCAAAAATATACACCTGGATCAGGCTGAGTTTGTTGATATGGGCCCATTAAGTAGGGATTCTGAAGTTAATGTTGCATCTCATGGAGTAGAGAAAGGTGTTAACAGACTATTTGGCTGGTTGACAGAAGTGTGACAGGAAGATGGCCCACTGTGAATGAGTCAGAGATGCCAGATGAAGGGATTCAGAGGGAAATGAGGATGCTGGAGTGGATCTGTCACGTTAAGCCAAGCCCTCCACATTGGGATGACCCTGAAAACATACCCTTTACTAACATATTGCAAAACAGATTTGTGAGGGGAGCACCAGCATCTCTGAAGAGCCCTGTCATTGCTCTTCTCTGTATGCCAGACCTTACCATGGGGACTACAGTTACTCAATTAGGAAATTTAAGGGCAACCAGTTTAATTGGACTCTGGAATGTTAGAGGTCAAACGGCGGCACTGAGCCACCATGGACAGCAGAAGCAGAACAATGACCACAATAATCTCACATGCGCAGACCTGTTGCACTGGCTGATTAGCCACAGTATTCCCAAAAGTGAGATAGGAAACCTATAAAACTTTTGTTGGATTTATATAACTGAAAGAATTTAGGGGCAAAAGAATAGAGATCTACTTCAAATCATGGTGATAGGCAATCACAACCGCTCAACCAGTTCCCAGATTTGAGCCAGTTTACAGACCCAGAATCCCTTGAATGAGGGGGAGGTCAGGTCTCCTTAGGAGAGGATCTTAATGCCCCTAGAATTTCTATAATCAGTCTTTCTCCCATCCTTCACTAGAGGGGAAAGCCTTTTGCTTGAGTGACTGTACGTTGGGGAAAGGGGAATGATCAGACATTTTGGGGACTGCTGGACACTGTTTATGAACTGACACTGATTCCAGGGGATCTGAAAAACCATAGTGACCCTCCACGAGTAGGGATCTAAGGAGGACAGATGGTCAATGGAATTTTAGATTTGCTCTTACCTGGTAAAAGAGTGAACCAAAAGCATATCACATTCCTGGGAAGATTGCAGAGACTAGTACCATCATCAAAGACCAAGAATGCAGAGGTGGTGGTCCCCCACATTCTATTTTGTTCTCCCATTTGGCCTGTGCAGAATACAGATGGGTCTTGGAGAGTGACAGTAGATTACCATAAACTAAATCAAGTTGTGATTCCAACTGTAGCTGTGATACCGGATGTGGTTTCCTTGCTTGAGCAGATTAACACATCTCCTGGTAGTTGGTATGCAGCTGTTGATTTGCCAAATGCCCTTCTTCTCCATGCCTATCCATAAGGACCATCAGAAACAATTTGCTTTCAGCTGTCAAGGCCAGCAATATACCTTCACTGTCTTACCACAAGGGTGTATTAACACTCCTGCCCTGTGTCACAACTTAGTTCATAAGGATCTTGATCACTTTTCTGTTCCTCAAGATATCACATTGGTCCATTATATTGATGGCGTTATGCTAATTGGGCCTAGTAGGCAGGAGGTGGCAACCACCTGGAATTTGCTGGTACAGCATTTGAGAACCACAGGATGGGAAATAAATCCCACAAAAATTCAAGGTCCTACCTCAGCGAAGTTTCTAGAAGTCAAGTGGTGTGAGCATGTAGAGATATTTCTTCTATGATAAAACATAAGTTGTTGCATCTGACTCCACCTATGACCAAAAAGGAGGCACAATGCCTTGCAAGCTTATTTGGATTTTGGAGACAACATATTCCGCACTTAGATGTCTTACTCTGACCCATTTACTAATTGACTCAGAAAACTGCTAATTTTGAATGGGGCCCAGAACAGGAAAAAGCTCTGCAACAGGTCCAGGCTGCTATTCAGGCTGCTCTGCCCGTGGGACCATATGGTCCACCAGATCCAATGGTATTTGAAGTGCCAGTGGTAGATAGGGATGCTATTTGGAGTCTCTAGCAGGCCCCCATAGGTGAATTGCAGTGGAAGCCTTTAGGATTTTGCAGACATCATCTGCAGACAACTACTCTCCCTTTGAGAAATAGATCTTGGCCTGCTACTGGCCCTTAGTGGAAACCGAATGCTTGACCACAGGACACCAGGTCACCACGAGGCTGAGTTGCCTATCATGGCCGGGGTATACCTGATCCATCAAGTCATAAGGTTGAATGTGCTCAGCAACAGTCCATTATTAAATGGAAGTGGTACATTTGTGACAAATCCAGGGCAGGTTCAGAGGGTACAAATAAATTACATGAAGAAGGTGCCCATGCACATATGCCTCCTATACATGCTACATTGCCTTCTGTTTCCCAGCATGCACCTATGGCATTGTGGGGTGTAACACATAATCAGCTGTCACTGGAAGAAAAGACTAGGGCTTTGTTTGTGGATGGCTTTGTATGCTATGCAGGGACCACCTGCAAGTGGACAGCTGCAGCATTAAAGCTGTTTTCTGGAACATCACTCAAGGACAATGATGAAGGGAAATCGTCACAGTGGGCAAAACTTTGGGAAGTGTACTTGGTAGTACATTTCACTTGGGAAAAGAAATGGCCATATATGCAACTATAAACTGACTCATAGGCTGTAGCCAATGGTCTGGCTGGCTGGTAGGGAACTAGGAAGGAGAATGATTGGAAAATTGGTGACAAAGATATTTAGGGAAGAGATATGTGGATAGACCTCTCCATATGGGCAAAGGATGTAAAAATATGTGTGCCATGTGAACGCTTACCAAAAGGTGACATCAGCAGAAGAGGACTTTAATAATCAAGTGGATAAGATGACCCATTCTGTGAACAGTGGCCAACCTCCTTCTTCAGCTACCCCTGTTATTGTCCAGTGGGCTCATGAACAGAGTGGCCATGGTGGCAGGGATGGAGGCTATGCATGGCTAAGTAACATGGGCTGCTACTCACCAAGGCTGGCCTGGGTACAGCCACTGCTGAATGCCCAGTGTGCCAGCAAAAGAGACCAACACGGAGTGCCCTATATGGCACCGTTCCCCGGGGTGATCAGCCCGCGACCTGGTGACAGGTTGATTATATTGGGCCACTTCCATCATGGGAGAGACTGTGATTTATCCCCATGGGCATAGACACATATTCTGGATATGGATTTGCCTTTGCTGCATGTAACGCTTCTGCCAAAACTACCATCCACGGATTTACAGAATGCTTTATCCACTGCCATGGAATTCCACACAGCATTGCTTCTGACTAAGAACACATTTAACACCCAAAGACATGAAGCAGCGGGCTCACACTCATGGAATGCACTTGTGTTATCATGTTCCTCACCAAGCAGAGGCAGCTAGATTAGTAGAAAGCTAGAATGATCTGGGTTTTGTGTGTGTGTGTGTGTGTGTGTGTGTGTGTGTGTGTGTGTGTGTGTTTTAACCAGGGATTGAACTCAGGCCCTTGCACTTGCCAGAGAAGCACTTATTCCACTGAGCCATCTCCCCGGTCCCTTAGAATGACCTTTTGAAGATTCAGTTACAGCACTAGCTAGGTGGCAATAGTTTGCAGGGCTGGGGTAATGTATTTCAAAAGGCTGTACATGCATTGAATCAGTGCCCTCTGTATGGTACTGTGTCTCCCATAGCCAGGATTCATGGGTCCAGGAATCAAATAGTGGGAGTAGGCATGGTACCACTCACCATTACCCCTAGTGATCCACTAGCAAAGTTTTTGCTTCCTGTCCCCACAACCTAATGTTCTGCTGGACTAGAAGTCCTAATTCCTGAGCGGAGAAGGCTTGTACCAGGAAGCATGGCAACAATACCATTGAACTGGAAGCTAAGATTTCCCCAGCTCATTTTGATCTCCTCATGCCTCTGAGGAAACAAGCTAAAAAAAGGAATCACAGTGTTGTCAGGGGTGATTGACCCAGACTATCAAGGGGAAATTGGATTACTAATCCACAATGGAAGAAAGGAAGCATATACATAGAATGCAGGAGATCCCTTGGGGCACCTCTTAGTACTGCCATGGCCTTTTATTAAGGTGAATGGGAAGCTACAACAACATAATACAGGCAAAACAACAAATGGCCCAGAGCCTTTAGGAATGAAGGTATGGGTCACTCCACCAGGGAAAGAACCAAGACCTAC